TACTTATGGACAAGCTTACCGACACAGCAATCTCATTCATTCGTGACACTACAGACTGTAGATCACCAAAGCTTGAAGCTAGTAAAGTGATATCATTAACGTAGTCGAGATCAGTCAGCCGGCGTCAGGGTAAAAGCTCAACACCGTCCTCTTCACTAGGGCCTTCCCAAGAATCCAATCAACGACGTAATTGAATAGAATGGGCGACAGGACATAGGCCTGTCGAACACCAGACCGGATATCGACCGATTGGGAGAGACTGTTGTACACCAGAACTCGCGCGGTGGTGGAGCGATAGTAGGCCTTTATTATGGCAAGGATTTTGGTCGGTACTCCAGCTGGTTACATTATTCGCCACATCGACTCACGACAGACGTAATCGAACGCGGCGACGAAGTCGACAACGCAGGCGGCCGTTTGTTGCTGGTAGCTGTGGCAGAATTCCAGAATGCGCATCAGTGTAAATATCCGGTCCGTATATCCACGTCCAGCGCGAAATCCGGCTTGGTTGGGCCGTGTCCTAGAGTCACGCACAGACTGGAACCACCTGAAAAGAACAATAGCGACAATCTTCGCAGCAACGTCGATAAGACTTATGTCGCGGTAGTTCTCGCGTCTTGTCTTATCTCCTTTCTTGTAAACAGGTACAAGGATGTCTGAGCCCCAGTTTCGGCACCTTGCATCAACCTGCTAGCATGGACCCAAATGCGAAAGCGTGAACCAACTAGAATGTAATCGATCTGACTGGCGGTACGGCGGTCGTTTGAATACCATGTTAGTAGATGTTTGCGACGATACTGAAAGCATGTGTTGGTAACAAACAGTCGGTTCTGATCAGCAAACTGCAGAATTCTCTCACCATTGACGGATTGAGAGCCAAGCACAAAGGGACCAATAAGGTGACTGTTTGACGGGTCACCGGGCCCAGACCGGCCGGTCCAGTCCCAGGCAACAACTAACAGATCACGGCGTGAAAGTCTTTCAACTAACTCCAATAGCCGGGAGTAGAAGTTTTCTTCATCTTGCCGTTCGGTCGCTTATGTTGGTACATACACAGAGACGCCAAAGATGTGCACAAATTGACCAGAAAAATCGATCGGAATTGGATGTGCCCCCCCCTAGACCGTAGCAAAAGGTCAATTATAATAAGAGGGAGTTGAGTAAATCTGTCTATCGTGATGACGACGAAGGAATATGGTAATATCACAATAATCAAAAGCAGGGAAGTGATCTACTTCAGTGATCTACTTACTCGTTTTTGAATTGGCACGTTTTTGTACACCTAAGACTCGAGTTTTTTTCAGTTACATATACTTTTTGTGGTTTCGGAGTTTGCCACTTTACTCCAAAAAGTTGGATTTCTAAACCATTTACAGTGGAGCGTCGGGTGACGAGTAGCCCTATCTACGCACGTTTCAGATAACGAGTGAGCCACTATCAGAAAATTTGCCCGCTTCCCCAGTTTCCGCTCAGTTA